AGGTTGTGGGCACCAGCACCTTGCCCAGACCGGGGGGCCTGCGGAACCAGAAATGGCTCCTCTCCCCAAAGGAGTCCCTTCTTCTAAGCCCTCCCAGCCGGGGCCCCACACAGAATTCGAGTCTCCAGAAGAGTGAGACCCTGTTATCTGTGTCTCTTGAAAGCTCCCAGGTGATTCTGGCAAACCCAGGCTTAGGGCCAACAGTTGGCTGGGGTCAGTTCTCGGAGCTACGGACCTGGGAGGGTGGGGTAGCTGGTGGAGAGCTATCACTCCCCATCATGACCAGTTGGGAGGTGGTGTAGGCACCAGCCCCGTGGACCCCTCTGTGGGCAGCTTGCCTTCAGAAGCCGTGGAGCAGCACAGCCTCAAGGTCACCAGCAGATCATTTTTGACAGGTTTCTCATTTGTCTTATAACCCAACTCACCAGACTCACTCTATTCACAGAGATATGCAGCCCCTACTCAATGCCTTGCCAAATGTGGGCATGTTTGACCCCAGCTTCAGAGTCCCTGGCACCCAGGCAGCCAGCACCAGTCACCAGCCTCCAGCCCGGATTCAGGGCACTCCACCCAGCCACTGGCTTCCTCAGCAGCCCCGCTTTCCAGTTCTGCCGAACCTTCCCAGTATGCAGCAGAGCGTGCCCATGCCGGCACAGAGGTCCCCTGCGGAAACAAGCGAGCTGAGGGAAGCCCTTCTGAAGATCTTCCCTGACTCTGAGCAAAGACTGAAAATCGACCAGATCCTTGTGGCCCATCCATACATGAAAGACCTGAACGCACTGTCTGCCATGGTGTTGGACTGAAGGTCACACTTTAGCTTGTGTCTGCACGTGGCAGCAGGAAGCGACATAATGTGAAGAAACCAATTTCCCAGTGGAAATTCTGTTGTAGTGTATAGAAAAGAAAACAGATGTTTTGTGTATAAAAAAATCTGGGTTTTCAAAACCAGCTTTTTCTATATATAAATTATGCTGCTATTACAGATTTAACATTTTCTGTAAAAGGAAAGTACATTTTCTGCCTGTTCAGAACTGTTTAATAGCAGTTACTCTTGAGTGTATTTACATTTTTATGTTTTTTAAACTATTTTCCTTAAAGCTGAAAATATTGACAAACGGATATGATTAGCCTTTCTAAATAAAAAAAAAAGTTGCTTTTTTAGGGAAAGCAAGATCTCTTAAAGTATATTTTCTTGAGATGACTGTGTAACGTCCACTAACATGAAGTGTGCTCACCACTCCCCAGCCTCCTCTGCCCTCATGCCTGGAATCAGAGTCAGAGGAATAGGCTTTGCTCCTATGGGTCTTTTACTGGAGACATTTGTGAGAGGGGGCAGGTGGTGCCACTAGATGGCACCTGTGCCTAGCCATTGTGAATGACCAGGGCTCAGACTCCCAGAATGTCAGGGCAAGAAGAAATTCTAGAACTCCTGCAGTCCCACCCTACTTCCCCTCCCACCCTGCAGAAGAGGGAACTGAGGCTCAGCATGCTCGCGTCCACACACGCCCAGGTCCACAGCTGTGGAGCAGCTGGGCAGGAACCAGACTCCTCATCCAGTGCTCTGACACGTTCACCAGGCTAAGGCCTTGCTATACCTGGCCTGACTCTAGAAGTCACGTCTTAGCCTCTGAAAATAATAGCGGGATGTGAGGAAGATCCGTGAAGAGCCCCGTTGTTACCATAATTTTATGTCCACAACCTCCATGCGAAGTTTGTGCAGCTTTGCCAAAAAGTGGTTTTCTATTCTCAAGAATGACTCAAGCCAATAAATAGCATTAGTAGCTGCCGTGGGGGCTCAGCCCCTTATTTATTTTTCCTGTGTTTGTCTTTTTAGTGTTCTCCGCAGCCGTCCTTCCAGTGAGTCTATCTCAGCATTGGTATCTTGGTATTGTGTTTTCAGTGTTGCTCAAATTCTGTGTCAGTGAAGTTCTTTTCCTGGGTAATTATACTTAACATCTTTACTGTTCTCTGGACTTTCAAAGGGCTTTGTATTTTCTACCTGTTCTCTTCCCAGGCTGCTCACTGGCAGTTTCGTGTCTGCCCTGGGGGTCGTGCCCCTCCCAGCCCCCAGAACAGCTGCTGAGGACTCGGGGCTGGTCTGTTCTTCACGGTGAAGGGACTTTGTTGGCCGCGAGCAGAGCTGGTGGCTTCCCAGGAGGCTCCCTCCCAGTGTGTACGACCCCTGCTTCCCTCGGGATGAATCCAGAGTCCTCCAGGTGGTTGGACTTGCATTTCAATCATGTTTTCTCTCCCGATGCCTTTAAGATGCCTCCTAACGAGGAACCGGTTGTCAGCTGCCGCTTTGGGGCAGGTGGCCAGAGTCACCCACCCAGCTGTGGATGTGGAGGTAGGAGACTTGAGGTGGGTAGGAAGTGACTCAATCGCAGCCCCTGTGCCTCGGCTTCAGAACTGGTGGTTTGTAAAAGTGTGGCAGACGTGTGAGGGCTAGGGCTGTCTCGCAGTGACTCTGATCTTCTGGGTTGAGGTTTGGTCTGACAGCCTTGCCAATCCAGTATTTCTCCTATTTGCAGAGAAGGACCCAGCAGTAAACCTTGCTGGCCCAGGCTTAGCCACACAGGTCTTCCTGGAAGGGGACTGGGCCTCCAGTGATGCCAAGTGGGACTGGCTAGGCCGGGGTTCCAGAGTTTTCCTGGGCTCTAAAAGTGACTTGACCCTTGACCTTTGGGTTATCTAAGCCTCTGTATTCTTAGTATTGTTTCTGAGGGCTCTACCTGCCCCTTTCCTCTTTCTAGGGTATGGGAAGGAAGGATGCAGGAAATTAAGGAAGGATGCAGGAAATTAAGTGGGTTAATTCCTTCCCTTGATAAATTACAACATAACAAAAGTCACAGCTCTTTCTGAAACTTGAAAATTAAAAATTCCATTTTCAAACCATTAAAAAGAGTCATTACTTGTTCTCAGCCTTCTCTTAATACTAGGCTCAGTGTTGACGCTACTCAAATGTTTCTTCCTGGTCTGCCCCCAGCAGTCGATTTCTGAACCACCTTGGTGATGTTGGCAGCAATGCGCCTCCTCCTGCAACTCCTCGGGCGTTCGTGTGTCGTGGCTCTGCTTCCTGCGCTCCCTGGCATTCCTAGAAGGAGGGGGCCAGGCAGGGAGTGCCACCTCGTTCAGTAGGCAAGCGGGTGTCTGCTCCTCAGAGGTGGTCCGGGGTTAGAGAATTAAGGAGATGGTGATACAGGCCTGCCTTCTGCCCCAGGCCCTGGCTGCCTTCTCTGGGGGGGGGGGAAAGAACCTTGTTTAACCTTTCTGTCCAGTAGCCTGTGTTTGAGACCCTGTAGGCTGCGGGCAAGAAGACAGGGGGAAGGCCTCTTAGCCATCCTGGGTGGCGGCTCGGCTTGTCTGGCAGGCTCAGCTGTGGCTTGGCAGAGTCGTCAGGGACTCAGGCCTGTTGCAGCTTTTCGTTTCTGAGAGGAGGCCTGGGGTCTTGCTTCCTTAGGCTTGTTGTGGCCCTTGTGGAATCCGATTCACGGAGAAACCCGTGCTCCCAAGCACCCTCCTCCATCACAGGAAATGCCCCAGGCCCTGGCCCCCCCCCTGAGTCTGGGCCTGGGCAGGCACCGTTCTCCCTCAGCTCCCAGCCTGGCACCTCCGAGCTGTGGCCTTCCTACTTGCAGCTCTCCACCGGCACTGCCATGCCCTCTCCTGCCCCCCTTCCTGTGTCCCTGTCCTCTCCTAACCATGGTCTGTTCCGTTGGCCCCGCGGCCTCGCGCCGTGTGTTTCTTAATGATCGACCTCTCTGTTACTCCCCGTTATCACAGTTCAGACCCTAACAGAACATCAGCTGATTTCTCCTAAGAACCGTGTCCATGCGTTGCTGCTCTCCCTCACCTTCCCACTCTTGTTTTGCAAACTTGGCCTTCATCCCACCACTTGGAAATAGTCTAGAAGTCACCGGGGACCACGGAATTGCTAAATTCAGAGGTCGCGTCCACACTCAGTGACCAGACTATTTTGATATTGTTGCCCTTATTTTGCCCATTTTCTGAGATTTCCCTCCCAAATGTTCTTCATTCCTTTCTCTTCTTTTACTGGAAGGCCAATCTGATTTTCTTTCTTGACAGGTGGTTCTCAAACTTTGGGCCAGCCATGGAACTCATGGTGGGGAGGGCAGCTCTTACTAAAAATTGCGATTACTGGGCACAGCCCGCAGAGCTGTTTATTTGGTGGCCCTGGAACAAAGCGTGGAAATTAGAGACTGCAGCAAGCTCCCTGTTTCCCATGCAGGCTGTCTGGGGACCACATGGTGAGAAAGTGCACTCACCCTTAGGGCTCTAACTCCAGCTTTCGTCCTCCCTAACTTTCCTAGCTCCACGTGTCCCCCCTGGGCAGCGACTTGTAGTCCCACCGCTAGGCCTGCCCTGCAGGAGCGCATTTCTAGCTCAGCTGGGAGCCCTGTGCCGTCCTCAGACTCAGTCCCCAGGCCCTCCGCCTGCATCTGTCCCTCACTCTCCATCCCCACCCCACCCTGCCACAAAGTCCCCTCCATCCACCCCTTTCCGTGGGCTGCGGTCCCTGACCAGTCAGCCCACCTCTCCCTCCCAGACTCCACAGTGCTCCCAGATTTATCTTCCAAAACCACATTGCTGGTCACACCCTCGTCTCTGTTCAGTGATCTTCAGTGCCTCGCGACCAGAGCACCGAGCTCAGCCCTCCCTGAGTAGTACCTGTACCGTCCGCCTCGTGGCCACGTGTGACTGCCCACTTGGAATAGCCCTTCCCCGGATGCTCACTGCAGCCCACACACATTTCCTCAGTTACCTGTGGGCTCCCGCCTCTGCGTGCACCTATTTCCTCAGCTAGAGATGCCCTTTCTCCCAAGTGGCTTCCCCCTCAAAGGCCCAGCCTGCGTCCTGTTTGTACTCTTGCCCATGCTTCTCTGCCCAGAAGCAACCCCATGGCGCTCTGTGACCCACAGCACTTGTGTCTGGCTTTTGGCACTGGCTGCGCCGGCTGGTGTCACCCCAGCTGATTGTGTACTGTGTCTCACCTCCCTTTCTAGACTGTGAGCTCCTCGCGGGCAGGGACCATCTGTGTTCACTCTTTGTATTTCCCATGGCACCTAGCACAGTGCCTTGCACTTAATAGGTGCTCAATAAACGTCTGCTCAATTGAACTGGACGACAGTGCCTTCTTGACTGCGGTATCTGGCAGCCGATAAGACCTTCAGAAGTTACACTGTCGGCATTTGCACCAGGGAATCCACTGCTCCGCTGCTGTAGACTGCGGGTGGGGTGTCTGCCCGGCTTTCCCCTTCCCTCCGAGGCTCCCAACACACATGTGGTCCAGGGTGGGCCCCGGACAGGCTGAGCCAAGCCGTGTGCTCTCACTTCTGCCCGCGAGTGGGCCAGGGGCAGATACCCAGCCCAAGCTAGGCCAGTCAGAGCCACTCCTTGGGCCCTAACCCCCCTGCCGGTGGGTCTGAGGAGTGTCATGCCCAGATCTGTTGGAGGCCATTTCCTGCCATAGGGGGAAGCTGACTATGGTAGAGAGGTAGGAGCATGACAGCGAGATTCCTGGGGAGGGGTGCCAGGCTGCTGTTGTCGTGGGAGCCTGATGGCACCCATGCCCTTCCGCAGCTATCGAGAGACGCATTTCCCTTTGCTTAAGCTAGTTCAAGTTGGGTTTACAACCCTTGAAATCAAGCGTCTTGAGTCAAATGGATATCACAGCCCCTAGACTCAGCAGATTAAATGGGAGAGACTCATATCTTTAGAAAGATCCCAAAGAGTGGTGCAAACAGAACTTAGGAGTGTTCACCCCAGTCAGAAAATGGTGGTAAGAGGCTGACAGTTTCTGATGTGTTTGAAACTTTCCCCTCCACCTCCAGGAGAGCTCCGCCCCCACCTTCAAGCAGGCTGTTTCCTGCAGCCGCTTTTCCTTCTCAACATCCCCACTTCCTCTTGAGGCTGTCTGGAAAATTCCCTAATGTGAATTTCTTTGTTCAGTTCCCCGGCTGGGCAGACACCAGGCCTGTCTGTCCGGAGTCAGACCTTCCCCGTACCTTTCCATGTCCCCAACCGTCAGACAGGCATAGTGGAACCACACATCCTACTCTAGGGGCATTGTGCAGAATAGGTGTGTCATATCCGTGACACGTCCGTGAGGGTGCCTGACACTGGGCCCCATTCAGTGACATTCACAGCCATCACTGTGGCCCTGATCAGCAACCCCTCTAGGATACCCATTACTGTTCACACCCTTGGAGTTCGCCCCACATCTCCTAACCAAAGGTCCAAGAGCTTGTCTTCCAGATTCCGGATGCTCTTCTGTCCCTGCTGACTCTCTGGGAGTGCGGACCACACCTCCCTTAGAGCCTCAACAGGACCATGGAAGTCCAGCTAGAGAGGGCACTGCTCCTAAAAGTTAGGCACCCAGGAGGGCCCCCCAATCTCACCACCAGGGAGGGGAGAGAGGGAAGCGTGGCCACAGGATGCGTGAGTAGGCAGACCCCGACAGCTGGTGCCGAGCACTCACCACGCCTGGTTCTGTCTTGTTACCCTCACCACACTCCTCTGAGGTCTCTGGGAAGAGCCGGAGCACGGGGCTACTGAGAGATCTGCGTGGCCAGGATTTGTCACCTTCCCCAGAGGTGATGTGGCAGCCAGAATGGTGCCTGAGATGGACCCCCTGCCCCCACCCAGGGAACAGAATTGAGGGCCCATGACCTGGGTCTAGGCTGTCAGGCTGCAGAGCAGAGAAGCTGTGGAAGGAAGCTGCCTCCTGCCACCTTCCCGCACAGCGGGGGGTCCCATGCCCAGCACTGTTCCTGTGGGGGCGGCACCAGGAGCACAGTTTCCAAAAGGAAAAGTTGACCAGCATTGTCTGGAGTGAGCCCATGTGTGCATCATACCCACCTTCCTTCCATTTCACTTAGGGCGACGCAGATCAGTAAAAGGACCCTGGATGGGTTTTGAAACCTGAAAGAAGCCTTTTTCACAGCTCCAGTCCTCTGACATTGTGGTTCCAGGGTGGGCGGCAGTGACTGGCAAGCAGGGATTTGCCAGAAACAGGGCAGAAGTGCCCATAGCCAGTGCTGGAGCTGGAAGCCCAGGGGCCCTGGGACTTCTTGACTCAGCCCCTCCCACTGGACTCCAGCACAGACCTCGGACTCCAGCTTTGGGGCTTTCCTTCCCACCCCCGCCCCGGCCCCAGGGAGCTCAGTCGGGCCCCACAGCCTGAAACCCAGTCTGGGGTCAGCCTGGGCTGGCCCTGCCCTTCCCCGTCCTGTTCCCAGAGAGGAGGAGGCCGCCCTGAAGAGAATGCGCTTGTCTGCGCGCCCGTCTCTGGCTCCAGCTTCCGTCTAGAGTTTCACCCACCAAAACAGGCTGCAGGAAGGAGAGGGCCTCCCGCCGCCGGCCAAGGAGCTGCAGCCGCTGCTGGGCTCCCATGCCTTCCCCAGACCAGAGTGGGCTTCTCCCCTTGCCGGCCCAGCACAGTCCACTGGTCCCCTCCAGGATGGGCGGGGCGCCGTGCTTCCTCCCAGTGTGGGGCTCAGGAGCCCGAGGCCCCGCTAGTAAGGGGCCGAGATGGGGCGGGAGTCTCCGACACCCACATCCTTCTCTGCCTGCTTCTGCTTCCCACCCCTTCTGTGATTCCATCTTCTCTGTTCACCAGCAGTCCCCGAGCAGCTGCTGTGTGCAGGGGACAGTGCTGGGGTAGGGGGGACAGCCAGATGGCTCCTTTTCTAATCCCGGCCTGGCCGCGTGGGCTTGGGCCCGGAGCTGGCCCTTCTTGCCATGTGACCTTGAGAAGGTAACTCAGCCTCAAGGTCTGTTTCCTCATCGGAGTGGAGGTGACGTTGCTACCCTTGGAGCTGGTGGTTTGCAGCCCTGGCTGCACATTTGAATCACCTGTAGGGAGAGCTTCTAAAATGCTTGCGGCCAGGCCACACCCCAGACTACGGAGATCTGAATCTCTGTAACTCCCCAGGTGGCCCCAGGGTGCCCTCAAATTGCGAACCAACACCCTCCCGGAGAGTTGCTGCTGTCAGAATGAAACCCTAAGAAACAGGCCTGGCCCCTAGGCGAGTGCTTCTCTTTCCTGACCCCCACTGCTAGGAATGCACCTCGAAGGCCTGGCAGTGCCCCTCACGATGCATGTGGCTCCGGTAAGGCTTCCTCCTCAAGGCCTCATCTTACGTTTGGTGTTTTTCAAACCCAAGACGCTGCTGAGGCAGGACACCCCGGGGAGCACTGAGCCACTGAGTGCTGAATGATACACTGAGCTGTGTATCATTCACTTCTTGGCAGAAGCTGGTTCCGATCACATCCCGGGACAGTTTCTGAAGGAGAACGAAGGGAGGGGCGCCTGGCACCCATGAAGCACGCGAGCTACTCTCCGCCAAATCCATGCCATCCCGCTGTCCATCACGCACAGCCCCAGGGACCCCAGTCACCGTCCAGCAGAGCGCAGAGGGGGCCTGGGAGTCCAGAGGGTTCTGCACACACTGTGGGGAAGGACAGGAATCATCCAGCCTGGGAGAACGCCTATTTCAGGCCGGCTGAAGGAGGCCAGCTGGCTTGGGTTCCCATGACCATCAGCCATTAGGTGAGGCAAGACTCAACTCTGGATCTTAATCCAACGCCGGTTCTCCACTGCCTCCCTGGAACAGTGTTTTCCAGTGACACCTGTAGGTGCACCCCCAGCCCAGGAGCATTGGCATGGAGGACCAGCCTGAGCACCGAGTGCACAGGGAGGCTCCCCTGAGGTGGGGATGCTGGATAATGACTGCCCGACTCCCCTGGTTCCTCGGTCCCAGATCCCCGTCCCTGGGAGGGCACCCGGGAGAGCTGCTGGGAAGAGAGGCCTTCCTCCACCACAGAGATGGCCTCGGCAGAGGTGACGGTCTCCCTCCGATGTTCCAGCACCCAGGCCTGGGTCCGTCTGCTGCCCTGAGGCTTGTTTCAACTGAAACAAGCAAAGCTAGGGCTTTGCATCGCCACGTCACTGTTACCATAATCACCAGGAAACTCTGCATGATGGGGCCAGGGCCTGTGCCTGAGAACCAGCCCCAGCAGCAAGTGACTCTACGACACAAGCCCCTTTCCAGACTGGAAATCAGGCCCCTTCTGTTTGGTCTTTTCAGGTGTCCCTCACAGTTACCCCAAGTCCCAGCCAGGGCTGCTCACTGGCCCCTTACTAGGACCAAGCTCCACCGCAGCCGGTGGGTAGAGTGGTTAACCCATCTTGCATGTGTAGAAACTGAGGCCGAGCCATTCTGTGACCTGCAGAGCCAAGACTCGAAGCCAAGCCTCTACACTCGGTCCCTCCCGCGATGGGTCGTGTCCACCAGCTCATCCACCGACGTCAGGCTCTAGTCAGACCTGCCAGATTCTGAATTTCTGGTGGGAGGAGGGCTGAGGGCTGTGGGGCCAGAGAGCAGCAGTGTGAGTGGGGTGACTGGAAGACAGCCAGCGGGGACAGGGGAGCTGTGAATGGGGAGGAGTGTCCCTGTCAGAGGAAACAGCACACGGAAAGGGAGGCCAGGCGGAGGGACTCAGGAGAAGGTCAGGGAGGACGGTCTGGCCCTCCGTTTCTAGCCTCCTTGAGGGGCCAGCACCAAGGGGCCGGCCAGTCCTGTCACTTGAGACCAAAATTCCATGCCCTTCCCTGGTATCAAGAAAATGCCCCCCCCCATCCCTTTCCCCCAGTGGGTCTGCTTCTGTGCAGCGGACCTGGCTTCCCTACTTCTCTGTGCTTGCAGCAAAAGTGGCCATGCCCAACCTCCTTGGCCTCACTGTTCCAGACTCGGCACCAGGACCAACTATGATCACCATGTACCACTCCCACGTTACAGGAGGTAGACTCGGAGGAGTCAGCTCGTATCAAGACGTCCACTCCTAGCCAACCAGCAATGGCCCAGGAGTGCAGGAGCAGGCCACAAAATGACAACAATCACAGCTTGCATGTATGATCTCCTAGTACGTGCCCAGTAGTACTGTGGGAAACGAGGTACACACTAGCGGACTCTCGCTGAACCGACGTAACAACCGTTTGCTGTTACAAGGGTCACCCCTGCTCCGAGTCCAGAACTGCCAAGTCCCACAGCTCGGCGGGGCCGCCCAAGACTGGGGCTGCTCCAGCTTTAAGCAAGACAGGTGCACCACAAGCTGTGACGA